CGTGGCGACGATGCTGTACTTGATGCCGCTGTTCTTGTTGATCTGCATCGATGGCGGCAGATAGCGCGGGATGGGAATTTCAAACTCGAGCGTAGTCCGGTCCAGCGGGAGGAAGGTCTCCTCAGCGCCGTGGCCATCAGCGGCGCGCCAGATAACGACGGGCTCCGAGCCGATATACTCTGTCCACGACTTGTTCGTCGGGAGCGTCTCGATCTTGGCGAGCTCGACACGCACCCACGAGACAGTCATGCCCTTGGGCGCGCTGGTCACGATGACGGAGCCTGCAAAGTGGGCATCGGGACGGGTCGCCTTCCCCGGGATGCCTGGATATCCCTGTAGATAGCCCCGATTAGCAGGGGGACTTAGAGAGCTGGGTCAGTACGGGTGCATACATCTTGGGATTTGGCATGGCGATGCTACCGCGGTTTTTGGATATCGGTAGGACACAGGGCGATCTCCCACATTCGCCGCGTAATCATTGTGCGACTCATGCGTCAAACTTACACGCGCAAATAAAATTGACGAATTAGAGTGCACCTTGCATTTATGCACAGTCCACGGGCCAGTGGGCTGTAAAGTGCAATGCAACTATAATTTCCTAGTGTAACAGTGATTCATCTCTCTACATGGCTATCCAGAGCACATGAGGCAGGCGTCCTTGTTTTCCAGCGAGCACGCGAGCTTCTCCGCCTCAATCTCGCGCTGGCGCTGGCGCTCGAGGGCAGCCTGATAGCCCTCGTCATCGTTGGGGTCCTTGGCCTTCTCTGCCTGTCCGCTGCGTGCAGCGGCAATGCCGATGCCAGGGCCGTCGTGGACGACAGTGCCGTCGATGCCCATGCGGCCGACACCGTCGACCAGCTGGTCGTACGCAGGCACCACACGCTCGGCGGCCGCAGCCTGGCTCGCACGCGCGGCAGCGGCGCTCTTCTTGCTTGCCTTGGCGGCAGCCTGCTCCTCGGCACTGACAGTGAACTGGATCGCGTTGGCGGCAGGGCGGGTACGCAGGTAGTAGCTTCCAGTCTTGAGACCCTTCTTCCAGCCGTAAAAGTGCATCGACGTAAGCTGGCCAAACGTAGGCGCGCTCAGGTGAATGTTGAGACTCTGGCTCTGGCAGATGAATGCACCGCGGTCGGCGGCCATGTCGATAATGACCTTTTGGCTGATCTCCCACACGGTCTTGTAGAGCGCCTTGATCCGGTCGGGAATATCGGGGATGTTCTGGATAGAGCCACTGTGCGCGATCAGACGCTCGCGCATGGTATCGTTCCACAGGCCCAGCTCGACAAGCTCGCGGAGCAGCCACGGGTTCACCACCTGGAACTCGCCGGCGAGCACACGGCGCATGTAAATGTTGCTGGTGTATGGCTCAAAGCACTCGTTAAAGCCGAGAATCTGGCTCGTCGACGCGGTGGGCATCGGGGCGAGCAGCAGCGAGTTACGCAGGCCGTGCTGCGCAATCTTGGCCTTGAGCGAGGCCCAGTCCCAGAGGTCCGTGGGAGTACGGTTCCACATGTCGTACTGCAGAATGCCCTGGCTCGCAGGGCTGCCCTCGTATGTCTCGTAGGTGCCGTACTGCTCGGCAAGCTCGCACGAGCGCTCGAGCGCAGCGTGGTAAATCGTCTCAAAGATCTGCACGTTCAGCTGGCGCGCCTCGGGGCTGTCAAAGGGGTAGCCCATGATCATGAACGCATCAGCGAGACCCTGGACACCGATACCGATCGGGCGGTGGCGCATGTTGGAGCGGCGCGCCGACTCGACGGGGTAGTAGTTGATATCGATGATGCGGTTCAGGTTGCGCGTGACGACCTTGGCGACGTCGTGGAGACGCTGGAAGTTGTACGTCTTGGTCGTAGTGCCCTCGACAAAGGTGGGCAGCGCAATCGACGCGAGGTTGCACACGGCGGTCTCGTCGGGCGAGCTGTACTCGATAATCTCTGTGCACAGGTTCGAGCTGCGGATGGTGCCGAGGTTCTTTTGGTTGCTCTTGCTGTTCGCAGCATCCTTGTACAGAATAAAGGGGTTGCCCGTCTCGATCTGGGCCTCGAGGATCGCGTACCACAGCTTTTGCGCCTTGACAGTGCGCTTGGCGCGTCCCTCGCGCTCGTACCGCTCGTAGAGCTCCTCGAACTCCTTGCCGTAGCAGTCAGAGAGACCGGGGGCCTCGGCGGGGCACATGAGCGACCAGTCTTCGTTCTTCTCGACACGCTTCATGAACAGATCAGGGATCCAGAGCGCATAGAACAGGTCACGGGCACGGACCTCCTCCTTGCCGTGGTTCTTGCGCAGATCGATGAACTCAAACACGTCAGCGTGCCAGGGCTCGAGGTAGACAGCAAAGGCACCGGGGCGCTTGTTGCCGCCCTGGTCGACGTAGCGGGCAGTGTTGTTGTACACGCGGAGCATGGGCACAATGCCGTTGCTCACGCCGTTCGTGCCGGCAATGTACGAGCCAGTGGCACGGATGCAGTGGATGTTGAGACCAATGCCACCCGCCGTCTTGCTGATCATGGCGCAGGTCTTGAGTGTGTCGTAGATGCCCTCGATCGAGTCGTCCTTCATGCACACGAGGAAGCACGACGACATCTGCGGGTTCGGGGTGCCTGCGTTGAAGAGAGTGGGCGACGCATGAGTAAAGGCCTTCTCCGACATGTAGTTGTACGTCTCAATCGCGGCCTCAATGTCCGAGCCGTGGATGCCGACGGCGACACGCATGAGCATGTGCTGGGGGCGCTCGGCAACCTTGCCGTTAATGCGCAGCAGATAAGAGCGCTCAAGAGTCTTGAAACCGAAAAAGTTGTAGTGAAAGTCGCGCTCGTAGATGATGGCCGAGTCAAGCACCTCCTTGTTATCCATGATCACCTTGTAGGTCTCGTCGGAGATCATGGGGCTGTGCTTGCCGGTACGCGGGTTGACGTACTCGTACAGGTCGGTGATGACGCCACTAAAGGTCTTCTTGGTCTCCTTGTGCAGGTTGCTGATGGCGATACGCGCAGCAAGCACGGCATAGTCGGGGTGTGCGGTGGTCTTGTATGCAGCGGTCTCTGCAGCGAGGTTGTCGAGCTCGACGGTGGTCACGCCCTCGTAGATACCATCGATAACCTTGCGGGTGATCTCGATGGGATCAACAAAGTTCATGTCGAGGCCGTAGCACAGCTTGGACACACGCGCAGTGACCTTGTCGAACCGGACGGCTTCCTTGCGGCCATCGCGCTTGTAGACGTAGATCATCTTGCGGTCAGATGGATGCCGAGTCGCGGTGGGAAATAACAAGAGGCAGCGCGCGTATAAATGCTACCGCGCCACACGTAAGGAAAAAGTTAAGCACACGCGTATGCAACACGCAAGGCGCGTGTGACGCGTTGATTGAGTGGATAAACGCGACGCGTCGATTGCGCGTCGTCCTTGGCTGGTCTCTCGGCCGATGCGCAAACACGCAAGCTAGAATTACAAGCACTATTCATGGGGGCGACAAGGATTAGTCAATAGGTGGGACTGCACGCATACATGCATATGGACAAACTTTCGGCGATGTACAGCGGGCCACAAGTCACGCGGCCGCGGGCCAAGAACACATGGGGGGGAATAAGGAGGACCCGTACAAAAAAAATAAGCAAGCGCGCTAGAACAATGGGGGTGGTAGAAGAATCGTGTATTGGAAAGTGTGGGGATGACAATAGTACCAAAAGAGAGATAGAGCAACAAAGCAAGCAGCACTACGTAAACAGATCAAACAAGCAGTAACAAGGGGGTCTTAACTAGCCACACTAACAAGGACATCCGCAGCTATAACAAGTGCACAACCTAGCGCAGGACTCGACATGTGCCGAGTATGCCGGGACGATATAAATACCGACACAACCAGGACACGCCCGCAATGATCCGTCACGCAATTTACGCGGGATTACCTTGGGTATGTTTCGTGGATGTCCAATTCATGTGGCCACATTTGTCGAGAGGGGGGATAGGGGGTCGAAGGAAGGGCATGTGTGTGCTTGCAATAGGAGGATAATATTAGCGGAGCTGGAGTGCTTAAAGCATCAACTGTAGGGGTGCATTTAGAAGTTCTCGTGGATGCCGCCGCCGCCACGGAATGCCTTGAAGGCAAGGAAGCCGATCACGGCGAGGAGGAAGAGCAGCTCAAGGAAGCCAATCCAGCCGAACGCCACAATAGCGAGGAGGGCGGAGCAGTTGCGGGTACCCTCAGGGCAGCCGGTGCCGACCTTGTCCGAGAGAGCAGCAGTGCCTGCAAGCCAGAAGATGAAGGTGAGGAAGACAAACACGGCGTGGCTGGCAATCGACGAGATGGGGCCACCGATACCAGTGAGGAAGAGAACAATCTGGTTAGCAAGAGGGAATACGCACGTAGACGAGCGAGAAGATGAAGCCCCACCAGCCGGCGAAGACGAGGAAGCGGGTGGAGTCACGGATCGAGTCGATGGGGTTGCCGTTCTTGTTGAAGTCAGCGACAACTGCCGACGAGACAACGGCAACGATGAAGGCGATGAGGGTAAAGACACCAAAGGCGATGGGGTGACCACGACGAACCACAGTACTGAGATCCTGCATTCTTGATGAGATTTTGATGGAGGTTAGGGAAACAGGTAATGAAGTAGTGGTAAGTTATAAACAACGGAGCAGCACAGTGCGGCAGTTGATCAAAATGGAACGGCTAATGCCGAGCGTTATTCCGCAAAGCGTGTTTGCAGGTAGAGTCGAGCGCCTCCAACCATTTGGCTTAGACTACACACCTGTTCCGTCCAATGTGCATGCTTGTCCCGCATACGGCAAACTTGTTGCACGATTTCGCACAATAATCGGGCACCGAATGCCCGAATTCGAAAAAACACATGCACATAGTGTCATGCAGCTGCATCTACATATCTAGACTTGCATGTAAACATCACATGCTAATGCATACAATTACATCATTAATTAATAAAAACAATGATGTGTGACAGGGGACCAAAAATATAGCACACTGCAAACGAATGCAAAAAGAGTGACTTCACCCGGACTCGAACCGGGGACTTTCACGGTTTAACCGTTTCACGTTTGGAAGTGTTAACATGATACTCTAACCAACTGAGTTATGAAGCCTTGCTTGTTGTGCAGTCAACATATTCGACTAATGAATGGTAGTATTCCCAAAGATTTAAGCATAGCATGGTTCTCGACTCGGGTCGTGGCTGGCTCGTCGTGTATTAATCACAAAGTTGGGTATCTGCACTATTCGTCGTCGTCTTCATCCTCGTCGTCGTCGTCGTCGTCGTCGCCGCCGTCCTCATCGTCAAAGGCCGGGTTGTCGTCCTCCTCGACAAACCTGCGTGTACGGAGCGCCTTGATCTTCTTGGCATTCAGCTTCGACAGATCCTGCTTGCCCACGTGAATCTGGCCAACCATGTCACCCATCTCGTCCGTGTCGACGTTCTTGCGCTTGCCCTTGCCCTGCGTGTTCTTCTGCTCTGCGGTCTTGGGCCGCTTGAGCGCCTTGGTCATGGCGTCGACGCTCGCAGGCACGCGGCGGCGGAGCTCAAAGTCGAACGACGGGCCGCACAGGTCGAGCTCGATGCGCGGCGTCTTGGTGCCCGACGCAATCATGCGCACAGTGTACACGCGGAAGAGCACGGTGCATGGGGGACAGTTTTGCACGGCAGAGCCGCCGTGGATATGCTGGGGAATGCCGGCGGCACGGTAGAGATCAGTGAGTTCGTCCGACTGTGCCGGCTTGGCCGCGTTCGTCGACGGCGCGATGCTGACCGAGATGACATGCTCGAGGCCACCGAGCGCGATCTGGTTCGGGTTCAGCTCCTCGCCACGGTAAAAGTCGAGGATGAGCGACTTGAGGTGCAAGTATGCGCCACTCGGCTCCTGGCCAGCGCCGGCTGCCGCGAGGCGGTCGTCGCCGAGCGACTCGGCGGCGAACTCGGGCCCCGAAAAGTGAAAGAGGGGCCGCATGCCGATGCCGGGCTTGTTTGTCTTGAACTCGCGCATGCTCTTGGCGTCGGTGATGCCCATCTCGAGCATGTCGAGGACCTGGCCGTCAAAGAGACGCACCCACACGAGGTTGTGTGGGCGCTTCTTTTGGCTGCTGCCGACGACAAACAGGGAGGCGTCGTTCTTCTGTCCCCAGAACTCGAGGCTCGAGGCGTCCTCGAACGGCAGCACGTCGTTGTGCTTGTTGAACGGGATCGTGTCGGGCTTTTTGAGCGCTGCAAGCTCGACCAGCGCCATGTTCACCTTGTCGGACGTGCGGTTGCCCTTGACAAAGATAGCAGTCTTGGCGCTCTCGAGCTCCTTGCTCTCGCGCTTCTCGAGCGCGCGCTTGGAGCGCGCATTCTTGGGCTTTACAATACCCAGCATCGTGGTGTGTGGGCGGAAAAAAAAAGTTTTCTTGGCCTCCACCATGATCTCCTCGCTGGCCTGGATTGCCCGGGGCAAGGCCGCACGGCATCCGACGAAATACAATGTAGACGACTCTGAGCTCGAGCGGGTGAGCAAGCTGGCGAATGTCGAGCTGAGCGAGGCCGCCGCGCAGCTCGCCGCCGCGCAGCAGGACGACGACGGCTGGGTGGACGAGGAGGAGATGGAGGAAGACGAGGCTCCTGCGGCGCCAGAGGACCCTGACGACCTCTCGCGGTACCGGCTGGACGAGTACGACGACGAGCCGAGCCAGGGCCCCGCGATGGGCGCGTTCTCGCGCGTGCGTGGGCTGCAATACTACCGCAATAATGACGAAGACCCCTACATTACGCTGAAGAACGACGAGGAGGACGAGGAGGAGGAGCGCGAGCAGCTCGAGGTGCTCCCCCAGGACAATATGATCGTGACGGCCAAGACCGAGGACGACCTGTCGCTGCTCGAGGTGTACATCTACTCGGCGCAGGACGAGAATCTGTATGTGCACCACGACCTGATGCTGCCGTCGTTCCCGCTGCATCTCGAGTGGCTCGACTATGCGCCCGCGGCGCTGTCGCCGGAGGGTGCTGCACGGCGTCCCGCCGGCACGCTCGGCAACTTTGTCGCGGTGGGCACGATGGAGCCCGAGATTGAGGTGTGGAGCATGGATACGATCGAGGGCCTGTTCCCCGATGCGGTGCTTGGGCGGCGCTCTGCGACGGCGGCGCTCGAAGGCCCCCGCGGCACGGGCAAAAAGAAGCGGCGCGAGCCGAAGAAGCGTGTCCCGAACGCCGAGTACCACGTGGATGCAGTCCTGTCGCTGTCGTGGAACCGGCGCGTCCGCAACATGCTGGCGTCCGCGTCGGCGGACACGACAGTGAAGATCTGGGACCTGTCGCGGCCGTCGTCAGGCGAGGACTCGAGTGCGCTGCGCAGCTTTTCCGGGCACACAGACAAGGTGCAGAGTGTTGCGTGGCAGGTCGGCGCGCCTGGGCTCGCACAGGGCTCGGAGAATCCCGCTGTGCTGATGACGGGCAGCTACGACAAGACGATCCGGGTGTTTGACTCGCGCATGCCCGAGCAGGTGCTTGTCGCGAGTGTGCCCTCGGATGTGGAGGCCGTTCGGTGGAATGGGTGGCGCGAAAATTCGTTCCTAGTCGCGCTCGAAACAGGCATCGTGCAGGGCTTTGATGCGCGCATGCTGACTGCCGAGCCGTCGGCGAATGCGCTGTTCACGCTCGCGGCGCACGAGGGCGCATGCACGGCGCTGGACGTGAGTCCGCACATCCCCGGATGCATTCTCACCGCGGGCACCGACCGCCAAGTCAAGGTGTGGAACGTGGACGGCGCCGAGGCGGAGCGGCCCAAGGGGATCAGTCTGGTGGCGTCGCGCGATCTCGACGTGGGCAAGGTGTTTACTGCGAGCTTCTCGCCGAACGACCCGCTGACCGTGGCTGCAGCCGGATCGAGCGGCCGCCTCGGCGTGTGGGACATGCTGTCGAATGCCGGCGTGCGGCGGACGTTTGGCGACCGGCTGCGGAACCTTGCGAGCTACAGCGCGCACCATGGCGACGCTGCGGCGACTGAGGTTGATCTGAGTGATGAGCGGCCGCGTGCCGGGGTTGTTGGTGTTGAGGACGACGCCGAGTCGGACGAGGACGAGGCGATGGAGTAGAGATGCGCAACGCGGCAATAGTGCATAAATGTGGAGAGAGATCTGGCCACATATTAGTGTGCGCGCATGCACGAGATTTTAGTGAGCAATCAATTTCGCGGCACAGCCCCGCGCAATCGATGGGGGACGCGTCAGCGCTGGATATTTTCGAGGATGCGCTGTTTGCCGTGTTTGAGCACCACCAGCCGGCACGCGGCGACCCCGGGGCCTCGGCGGTGTATGAGCATGCGCAGCTGCCCGACTGGTGCGTCGTAGACGGGCGGCGCGCGATTCCGTACCGCATTGCGTCGCTGAGCAGCGCGAATACAAAGCTGTTTGCGCACTACCAGTGGGATGCAGGTGTGCACCTTGCCGATTTAATTGTGGAGCACACAAGTGCGCGCGATGGCAGCGCCGCCGACGTGCATGGCAAGTGTGTCGTCGAGCTCGGCGCCGGCACTGCGGTGCCCTCGCTGGTGTCTGCGGCGCTCGGCGCCGCTATGGTGCGTGCATGCTGACAGACGGTCGCGACGGACTACCCCGACGCGGATGTGCTGCAGAATATGGCGCACAATGCCGCTGTGCTTGCCGCGTTGCCCCGTGCGCCGACGCTTGCGCTGCGGACTGCGGGCCTCCAGTGGGGCGCGGCGGGCGACGAGCAGCGTGTGGCGCAGAGCAGCGTGCATGCGGGCGCGTATGAGCTGGTGATTGCTGCGGATGTGCTATGGGTATCGTCGCAGCACGAGGCGCTGCTGCACAGTGTGGAGGCGCTGCTTGCGCGGCGCGAGGGCGCGCGATTCGTGCTTGTGGTCGGCTTCCACACGGGCCGGCCTGCGATCACGCGGTTCCTGCGGCGTGCGTACGCGTCTGGACTCGTGCCGGACGTCGACGCCGAGTATGGCGGCGTGTACGAGCGGAGCTTCCAGGGCGCGGTGCGGGCCTGGCAAGGGTCTGCGCTGGACGGCGCGGTGGATGAGGCGCCTGACGAGGATATGGGGGACGTCGGGGAGCGTGCGCGGTGGGTCGTGGTGGCGACGCTGCGTCGTCAGTGATGCACGCGCTTCGCAGGCGGGGCGCGGTCGACGAGGGCGAGCAGGCGGAGCTGCTCTTTGCGCGCGGCCGGGTCGTCGTACATGATGCGTGGCTCGGGGTCGTCGTCGGGGGTATCGATGGGCGCGTCCGGGAGTGCGTCGAGCCAGGAGACTGTGGGCGTGGGTATATCGCGGCGTTTGCGGCGAGTGCGTGTCGGGGGCGTGCTTGGAGTGGAGTGGGTGGAGAGTGAGGCGGCGGCTGGTGGGGTGGGGTGTGTGGTGGGGTGTGTGGTGGGGTGTGTGGTGGGGTGTGTGGTGAGGTGTGGGGTGTGATGCGAGGGGGCGTGCGAGGAGGCTGGCGACGATGGCGGGTCTTGCGAGCTGTGGACTGGCCAGGCGCCAGTGCGGAGGGCGTCGGTGATCCATGCCGGTGTGACGATCGGGACGCCCCACTCGAGCGCCTTGCGGCACTTGATGCCTGTGCGAGCGTCGTCGGAGCCACAGAGGAGATGCGTGGTGACGCCGCGGCGGAACGTGTCGGCGACGCGGGCGCCGATGGCCTCGATGGCGGCGACGCAGTGGTGGTAGTCGGGCCCGTCGCGGTCGAGGCCGGTGGAGCTAAAGCAGAGCTCGTGGGCGCCCGGGATCGGGAGGCGGGTGCCAGGGAGCGAGGCGACGCCTGCGGCCGGGTCGACAAGGCGCTCGTCGTAGAGGCAGCGCTCGATCCAGTGGTGTGTCACGTGCCGAGACGACGTGGGAGAAGGCGACGGGGCGAGGACGAGTGGCCCGACGAGGTAGTCGGCGGCGTGTGCGGCGACGACAGAGCCGCCTGCAGCGCGGACGGCGCCTGCGACACGCTGCGTGCGGACGTCGTCGTGCATGTCGATCGCGAAGCGGAGGCCGTCAAAGACGCCCTTGCTGCGCGCGAACCGCTGCGCGCGCGACATGAGCAGGGCGGACGGTGCGCTGGACGTCCGGTGCAGCGCGGCGCTTGGCTGGGCGGCGGCGCTGGGCAG